AATCAAACGATTGTGGCCGAGAGAGGAACTGATCTCAGCCGTCAGGTTCACGGCCTGAGCTACAAGGCCAGTGGTGGTGTTGGTGGCAGGTTTTAGGCGGTGCTCCGGCGCGTTGCTCAGAGAGCGACGGTCGTATGATATATGGGGTGAATGAGATGACAACAGAGATGGTGCTCCGGCGCCTTGAAAATCAAGGGTCGTATGATATATTGATGAATGAATTTTCTTTACAATCTACCACTACTCCTAGGAAAGCAAATAAAGGTATTGAAAATGCATTACAGGAAAATATAATTTGCTCCGTGGGAGACTTTTGGTTTGGTGTTTGAACCTCTTAAATGTAGTCTTGAGTTTAGTATTTATAGGGGGAGTCCTGGAGGAACAATCGAGGCTGAAAAGATCTACGTGGTGGAGCCTGATCGGGGCAAGTGGGTAGTTAAATCGGCATTTGGGATCGTGAAGCATGGTGGTGTGACCCCCATGAATCCGGGTAAATCTCGACCACCGCCCTGATCGTGGGTTCTGCCCCCTTGGCCGTGGGAACGCATTTAATGCCCTGGTCTAGTGGTTGGTGATCTGACCTCAAGTTGTAAGTATACTTGTGAGAATGTTTGTGCCTAACCACTCTGATTTCCATTACCAAATCCTGACTTCAGTCACTTCCCTTCTTCCCTCGTGCATTAAATGCTTCTTGCGACTAGTGTGCTTACTGTGATAGTCAGAGGCATTACTTCATTAAATGGGGCGTGGGACCCTGAGGCCACGTGGCGATTTGACCACAGTATCTTCGGCCATGTCTTTTACGGCCTTCGGCTTAGGCCCATAATACCGCGGTCGCGAGGCCGAGAGGATTCTGCCTTTGCAGATTTTCTTTTGTTTTTAGGAAGGCAAAATGTCTAACGAAACGTGGCCGTTTCAGTTCATGAGTAGGTGCTAGGGCCGAGAAGAAGTCCATTCGTTCAGTTTATGACCGTGATTTATTAGGCACAAACAAAATGACTCATTGCAAAATGGGGAATTTGAATGAATTTGATTGAAAAAATGTTTGAGTGAATTTAGCTGAATAAACCACGGATTCGATTTTGATGTGTGTTTGGGGTGAATTTGGTTAAGAATAAACTAGGGATCCAAATTTGGTTGCTGTTGCGTATATTAGGATGCTAGACTGCCTACATACCCTTGATGGGATCAAACTAACGTAATTCAGATTTGATTTGTGTGAATGTGGATATTTAATTTGTGGGAATTTGGTTAATGTAACTAGTTATTCAAATTTGGTTTTGGTTGCGGTTGCGTCTATTGAGATGCTAGACTGCCTACGTACCCTTAATAGGATCAAACTGACGTAGTTCCAAAATTAATATGGAAATTAATGGGTAAGTGTGGCCCACTAATTTAGAATTTGTGTTTAAGAGATTTGAATTGAATATCATAGAAATTTATATCGGTAGATGACCCATAGGAAAAATTGGAAATTAATGGGTATGTGTGGCCCACTAATTGAGAATTTGTATTTGAGAGATTTGAATTTAATCTCATTGAAATTTGCATAGGTAGATGACCCATGGGAAAAATTGGATGGTTTTGTACCATTTTTCTTATTGTCAATGTCCAAGAAAAATAATGAGCAATTTTGATGAACCCACAAATTTTCTACAATTAACATTTGGTAAAGTGTTTGGGCGAACTTGGTCAGAATAACCAGGGATTCAAATTTGGTTGCGGTTGTGTCTATTGGGATGCTAGACTACCTACGTACCCTCAATGGGATCAAACCGACTTAGTTCCAGAATTAATATGGAAATTAATGGGTAAGTGTGGCCTACTAATTGAGAATTTGTGTCTTTGGGACAATTTGTAGATTTTCATAGGTAGATGACTTATGGGAAAAATTAGAAATTAATGGGTAAGTATGGCTCACGAATTGAGAATTTGTGTTTGAGAGATTTGAATTTAATCTCATTGAAATTTGCATGGGTAGATGACCCATAGGAAAAATTGGATGGTATTGTACCATTTTTCTTATTGTCAATGTCCAAGAAAAATAATGAGCAATTTTGATGAACCTACTAATTTTCTACAATTGACATTTGCATTAACCATATAATAGGCAATTTGGGCCTCCGTAAATTTAATGAGTATTTATTTGATCACTCATTAAATATTTTGGGCTTTTGGGAATTAATGGACAATTTTTTGATAACCCAATAATCTGTTTCCGGACCTTGACATTTTTCATCAGTTATATCATGAGCAAGGAGTCTACATTGAGACCCAGCTACCAATTGAAGCCAAACTGATATTAGTTTGCCCCCTTTAAATAGAACTAAACAACAGCTTTGAAAGACTACGCAAGCCTAGAGAGACAATAAAATAAGGTGGGCTCGTCCTGTTATTTCCTCCTTTTCTTGGCTTCAGAAGAACACCCAGCGATTTGTTATTTAACGTTAATTTTATATTTCTTTGTAGCCAAAAAGAACACCTGGGGACCTTGTCGCCAGTTGAAGACGGCGAAGGTCACCCGGGTGACCAACAGTCGTATCAACATCAGATACGATGAGCGGCATCGGGCTGCACCAATGATGGACCAACATAGCTCATTGGCCCACGACATTGGTCACGTCGTTCGGACCCATTGCTCGATGAAATGGAAGTCTTGGAAGGTCATGCCTGAGGAGAGGAGGACGGAGGTGCGCAGACAGCTGTCGATATGTATCCTAACTTTTAATTGTTTTTCCTTCAAACGTTATATATTTCTATTACTTAATGTATGTAATTAATTTATTGCAGACGAACTACAATTTAGAGGAACTCGACGACGAGTCGTTGGCGTACATCAACAGACTCTTTGTTGAGAGGTACAAGCAGTGGAAGAGCGACTTGCACCACCATTTTTAAGCATTTGATGATCCACATGTCGCTCTTCAGGAGGGTTGTCTGAAGGAGCTTGAGGGGCAAGAGGATAGTTGGGCGTGGCTCTGCGTTCATTTTCAAGAGTCTAATTATGTGGTATTTTTTTTTAATATTAAGTTGAAAATTATTACACGTTTCTTACTAATGTTTATTTAATTTTTTATATTTCATTTCAATCTCAACTAATACGTTTATTTTTTGTATAACAGAAGAAGGCGAAAGCAAATAAGAGCAATAGGGATAAGAAGACTCTTCTCCACCATTCAGGTTCCAGGCCTTTCTCATATAGGATGGAGGCGCGGCAGCGGGTATTAATTTGTTTTTTCCGTACTAACATTTTTCTTCTCTTATTCAATTCAAGAGGGGTCCAAATTCCCGGAGATCAATGTCTTTGGCGACGTTTATGTTCGACCTGAGAATAAGTTGGTCGAGTCCCTTCATGTAAGTATTCTTTAATTTTAATTATTATCTTACGTATTCAAGTTTCATGGTTATTATATGAATGTTTTAATTAATATTTTATGTTATGTTAAACAAGAGACGGTGGAGAAGAGCCAGTTGGTTCTTCATGAGTTCGCCTCCCAACTTCCTCCTGATACTCCACTCGAGTCTATGGATCCTCCACAAGATGCGGGGTTTCAGATCCTGATGGAGACCTTGGATCAGACTCTCAGGAGGAGGCTATGGACATATTGTCGAGTGATGGGGAATGCTCAGCGATGGGAACCTAGAGCCCCTTCATCGTCGCAGTCAAACAGTCAGGTGATTGCTTTGACAGCAGAGGTGGTCGAGCTTAAGACCCAACTTGCTTCGTATAGTACCCAGATGTCACAGCTTCTAGAGTGTCTCGCTCGATCAGGCCTTCCAATCCCGCATTTTGGTTCCTCGTCGACCTCCGAGCCCCTCCAACCTGAGCATGGCCACCACACCTCTGCCCTTGTTAACAATGTCCAGACCTCCGAGCCGCATTTGCAAGACGACCACGTTGATTTTGGAACATTTTTTGATTAGTTTTTTACTTTCTTAATTACATTTTAAACATTTCTCTTGTACTATATACATTTATATTATTATTATTTTTTAAATTTCTCTTCATTATATTTTTTTTTATTGCAATTTCATTTTATTACGAGAAAAAAAAACCAAATTTATTTTTTTTACAAAATTAAAATTAAATAAAGTATATTTTATTTTTGCAACCAAAGTCTTCGTCTCGCGAATAAGAAAAAGCGACGAAGTCAATTTCGTTGCGCCACCAACGTCGTCGCGCACATGTTTGCGACACAAATAGTACTCTCATCCCTACATTTCTACTCGACAAATGTGAACCGTCGCGCGGCGTACTCGCGACGAACATGCTGTCGTCACTCGAAGTTTTGAGAGATGAACATTTGTCTCATCCCTAAAGTTTTGTGCGACGAAGGATAACCGTCGCTCATGTTTGCGTGACCAATTAAAATACGTAGTCACGCAAAGTCTTTCTTCACAATCTTTGCACGACGAAGTTTCTATTGCGCTAAAATTTATGCGACTCAAATGTATTTTGCGCGACCAAATCTTTTTCGTCGTGCAAATAGTAAGGATTTGTTGGAGGGGCACGGAGGGATTTGACCAATACAACTTGGCAAATTTTTTTTTTTGTGAATTTTTTTGGTTCAACAGTTACATAAGATAACACCTAGATAATATTGGGGTCTTGCGTGTGCCATATTTGGCCTCTCCTCACAAGTTCCAAAAACCAAGTGTAAGTTTCAAAAAACGAACGAAAACCGATCTCTCCCTTCTGAGGCCAAAACACCCTAAAGATAATTACACAGAGAGACAGAAAAATATCAAAATATATGGATTTTGCATGCACGAATAGGCCAAAGTCTCTCACATTCAACTGCTAGATTTCCACCTGTCAACGGCCTAAGCAGCCTAAAAAGTACCAAAATTGACACGTTTCATACCCAAAACACCTGTCGTGTAATGGCAATGACAGAAAAACCAAGGCCTTGCAGAAAGGGAATGTACGTGGCCCTTTGGGGTGTGCCGCAATTTGATGATGTAAAAGGACCTTCCTTCTGCTTATATCCCCCAACCCTACTCAACCGTTCAACCTGTTGTTTAGCTCTTGAAAAAAGAAGACGAAAAAGATTTTCATTTCGTTTGTGTGGTTGTGTTCTGTAGCTGTGAAGTTGAAGAAGATTTTGTTGCTGCAGCTTGAACATGAGGGTATGTTTTTTTTTAATCTCTTCTGGTTTTGTAGTTCCAGGTTTCATGCATGAAGCTTTAAGTAGAGTGGTGTTAGCTTGTGTTGCTGTTATTTCTACACTACTATGATTTATTTGTTTATGTTTTTTGAACCTGAGTGTTTTTAGATTCTTTTGAGACATTAATTTCCATTAATTTCTTCATTTGGGTTTTCTATATATTTCAAGGGTATGCTTTAAGTTGGGAGGATTTGCTTAGAGGCTCCAAAAACCGAGTAATCTTGAGTTAATAAATTTTGAAACCAACTCTACAGCCAAAGAGGAGAAAAATAAAACCTCTCTTACACAGATGGAGAAACATATTATTTAAATTGCATTTATAAAATAAATTATTTAGGGATTAGAAGGATAGAAGAGCACTTGAAAAATACAATAAATTTTTTAATTTTCTATTCCTTTTCTTTTCATCCAATTGTGCTTAAAATTTATGTACGTTTTTCATCTTAGTGGAGTTTAAACATGCTTTTCCAGTGTTAAATTTGCAATTTAGACGTCTAAGTTGGCTGGTGGTGTTTGTATTTCTCTTAGAAAATAGAACAAAAAAGACACTTGGGGTTAGTAATAAAGGAAAGAGAGTCTCACTAAATACTTCAAATCTCTCTCACATTCCTTTGTCCGAGAGTAAAGGTCTTATCAGCTTACTGAATGTCATCAAGGTTCATGAAACAAGGTCTCATTCCCATCCAAATGCTGAGGAGGACAAAGTGATGACAAGGAAGCAAAAAGCAGAGAACAAGGCACATGAAGCAGAGCAGTCTCCGAAGAAGCCCAAGTCTGAAGGTGACAATGGCCATGCAAATGGTAAATCTTCAGAGGACATAGTTGCTGAGTTTGAGGTGGTCTGCACAGCAGTCAAAGATAACCTGTCAACTGAACAAATGCGCGAAATCTTGGAAGCTAATGGCCAAGACTCCTCTGGCTCCGATGCTAATGTCCTTCGAAAATGGTTAGTCCATTTTTGTTGATCACAGGAACCTGCACACGTATTGGCGCATAAACAAATGCATAGACATAATGATGTACAAATTTCAGTGTGGGCAGCTCTTTTGCGTGATGTTTATAATTGTTTTTCGAACTCATTGTTTCAACAGCCAAGACTTGCTGTTTTATGGGCCATTAGATAAATGCCCCGCTTGCAATGGAAATTTGGAGTTCACTGGTATACGCTACTCTTGCACTGGATCTTATAGTGAATGGGCGTCTTGTACATATAGCACAAAGGATCCACCAAGGAAACAAGAACCAATTAAGTTACCAGATAGTATCCTGAACTCTCCTGCCTCCGATGTAATTCGAATTTTCATCCACACCCTCTTCTCTTTGCATTTGATATGCTATGCCCCCACTATACATGTTAACTTGTGAGCTCTCTCTGTGGTGTAGTTGATAAAGAAATATGAGGACCCAAGTCGCCGGCCTAGGAAGGTTCTAAGCATCCCGGACAGGCCTTTTACTGGGATGTTGATGTCTCTTATGGGCCGTCTTTCTGCATCTCATGTATGTAGCACACTTGAGAAAGCAAGACAAGTCGTCTTTGTCAATTTGCGCTACTTACTGGTTTGTTTTAAATACGCAGCAATACTGGAGAAAAGAAATAGAAAAGCATGGAGGAAAGGTTGCCAACCATGTGATTGGTAATTCTCTTATACATCTTGTTGATATTTGGATTGCAGCAGATAAAGCGTACTTTGTCCATTGTCTGTACTGCCATTTTTATTACAACCTTTGCAGGTGCAACTTGCCTCATTGCATCTCCTGCGGAGCGAGAACGAGGTGGCTCCTCTAAACTTGCAGAAGCAATGTGCGTATAGAATTCTTCCTTTGGCCCTAAGCATTGAATATATCTTACAAGCTATATACTAGGTTTCCTCGACAAGTCTATTGATAGTCTTTTGCCCATGGAGAGGGAATTGTTCTTCTTAACATATTTAGTGTAGAAATTGCAATGCCTGTGACTATGCACCCATGAAAGAGGGATACCTGTGGTAAGTGAAGCATGGTTGAAAGACGGCATTGAAAAACAAGAACCCCAGCCTCTCGAAGCGTATGATATTGTCACTGATATTGCTGCTAATGGCAAAGGAATTCCGTGGGACAAAATGGATCCAAGTGAAGAGGCACTTGAATCCCTTTCAGCAGAAGTATATAATTCCCCCTCAAAAATTTCTAAAGATAGTACCCCACTAGAAAATTTCATATTCGGAGTATTTTTGTATTCACTACAATATCATCTGAGTGCAGCTGAAGCTTTATGGGAAGAGAGGTGTCCACAAAGATACGAAATTGCAGGAGCGAGGCGGGAAAATCTTTGAGAAAGATGGCATACTGTACAACTGTGCCTTCTCTCGTTGTGATCTGGGGAAAAAACTGAACGAGTAATTTAGACCTATTCTTCTTAAGCTATTTAAGCTCAGATGTTATGTCAGTTGATCTTATGGCGAAGTTTGGTTGTGCAGTTATTCTGTCATGCAACTGATTTCAGTACCAGAGAGCAACCTGAATTTGTACTATAAGAAAGGGAAAGTTGGTGATGATCCCAATGCAGAGGAGAGGCTTGAAGAATGGGAGAACGTGGAAGCTGCTGTGAAGGAGTTTGTGAGGCTCTTTGAGGAAGTAACTGGAAATGAGTTTGAACCATGGGAAAGAGAAAAGAAAATCCAAAAGAAGCCATTGAAGTTTTACCCGATAGACATGGTACCATATCCTGTTTTCCTTCCTTTGTAATATTATTCTGCCACGTGAAACCTTCTTTACTCTGAATAGGATGATGGAGTTGATGTGAGACATGGAGGACTTGGTCTTCACCAATTGGGTGTTGCCGCCACACATTGCAAACTTGAGCCTTTGGTTGCAAATTTCATGAAGGTCGTATGCAGTCAGGAGATTTACAAGTATGATTCTGTTCCAGGTCTCTGACTACAATTATCTTTGCACAACAAATACTGAAACCTCCATTTTGAATGTAGATATGCTTTGATGGAGATGGGATACGACCCCCCCGAATTACCAATGGGGATGCTTTCTGATGCCCACTTAAAAAGATGTAAGGAACTTCTATTTTGTGCCTCCCTTCTCCCATATCTCACAAACTGACAAAGGTATGTATTCAGGTGAGGAGGTTCTTCAAAAGTTTGTAGAGACGTTGAAATCAATGAAGGATACAGGGCCAAAGGCCAAGGCTGTCTGGTCAGATTTTAGCCAAAGATGGTTCACCCTCATGCATTCTACCCGGCCTTTTATCTTCAAGGACTTTCAGGAACTTGCAGATAATGTAAGCAGAGCCAAATCATGTGTCACCTGCTTGATATTTGGAACGTCCATCTTACTAGGAAATCATATGTTTCCAAATGTTGCAGGCTGCAGCTGCACTCGAGACTATTCGGGACATAACCGTGGCTTCACATCTTATAGGAGACATGGGTGGATCTACTCTTGATGACCCCTTGTCTGAACGTTATAACAAAATGGGCTGCTCCATTTCTCCACTGGATAAGGAATCTGATGATTACAAGATGATTCTCAAGTACCTTGAGACAACCTATGAACCTGTCAAAGTTGGGGATGTTGTAAGCATTCAAGTTTATAAAAGTTTCTAGTCGCTGTGTTATGCATATTCACTGGTCTGTACACAAGGATATGTACTGATCTGTCAATTCTTTTCAGGAATATAAGGTCTCTGTTGACAACATATTCGTTGTCGAATCAAGTGCCCGTCCATCAGTAGACGAAATAAAGAAGCTACCAAACAAAGTCCTCTTATGGTGTGGTAAGATGCTTAGTCTTCTTTCTTTCCTTGAAAGAGAATCCCTTGAGGTGATTAAGAGGTTACTTTCAAACTAAGAAAACATAGAAGTTAAAACTCAACAAAGTTTCTACTTAAAAGGAAAGATTTACGTAAGAGCTGCAGTAAGCCTTGGTAAATAAAACAAACTCCCACTTTTATAAATAAACCCCCATCACTGCTTTACAACCCGAACGAGTGTTTTACTCTTCTTTCATTTATGGATGGCTGCAGGAACACAGAGCTCCAATCTGTTGAGGCACTTGCATAGAGGTTTCTTGCCTGCAATATGCTCTCTCCCTGTCCCAGGCTATATGGTATGATGGTTTCCTATTGATATTTCAGTGCAGGCTTAATGTGATTAAACTTCTTCTAATTGTAAATCGATGCTATGGGTTTTGGCTTACAGTTTGGCAAGGCTATTTTGTGCTCTGATGCTGCTGCAGAAGCTACTAGGTATGGTTTTACTGCTGTGGATAGGCCAGAAGGATTCTTGGTCTTGGCTGTGGCTTCTCTGGGAGATGAGATTACCGAAATCAAGAGCCCACCTGAGGTATGAAAATATGGTTTTTATTACGAAGTTCCTAAGAATGAGGTGTATCCTTACAAATCTTCTGGAATTCAATGGGACAGGACACCAAGTCGTTAGAGGAGAAGAAAGTCGGAGTGAAGGGCTTGGGTAGGAAGAAGACAGATGAATCAGAGCACTTCGTCTGGCAAGATGACATCAAAGTTCCTTGTGGTCGCTTAGTGCCTTCAGATAATAAAGACAGCATTCTCGAATACAATGAGTACGCCATGTATAATCCGAAGCAGGTATAATTAGAAGGATGTTGCGGTCAGTTTCTTCAGTTGAATCATGTTGAATCGTTTGTCATGTCCTTTTCTTGCAGGTAAGCATCAGGTTCTTGGTGGGTGTGAAGTATGAAGAGGAGAATGCGGTGATGGAACCAGAGTGAAGAAGTTTGTAGAGATCTTTCTGGCTGTTTTGCTGTCTTTTGTATGGGGATGGGAGAGGGAAGGAAATGTTGATGAGCTTTTGTTGTATATAATATCATCACTTCCTTTTTAGTCGATCTGTATGGTGCATAGCATCTTGCAGTTTTTAACGCATCTGAATCTGAAGCCTCAAAGGGGGGCAGACTAGCTATTTTGTAGTTATGTAATTTGGATGTTATCTCTTTCAATATCTGTATGATAAGTTGCAAAAGGCAAATATAGAGTAACATAACAAAACCTATATGCCTTGTTTTGGCATATGTGCAAATATGGAGACCAATGCATAACAGTACAATCAGTGGTTTCCCCAGTCAATCAATGGATATCTTCTCAATAACTATTCAAAGGCCTTCAATAACAGCAAATCCAAGTTCAAAACTGATGCTATGAAGACAACATGGTAAAGGAAGAACTTGTCAAACCAGTGATCTAATTCAACAGAAACAGAACCATAAGTTCCAATCTAGGCCAAATGTCTGTTGAAACCTCTATAACAATGGCTTAAAGTTGTTTTACGTTTGACAATCCAAAGATATCCTAATTATGCATATAAGTCCCTAGAATTCAAGTCGAGAAAGTTCAAAAAGAGCAAATGAGTACCTGATCTGGATTCCAATTTTACAAATTATATTTCCCAAAACTATCTTTGATAGTACAGGGTCAAAGTATGAAACATACATCTTCAACAATTGTGCTTTTCTTTGACTGTATCTTTTGGGGAGACTACTATTACAACAAGAATACAACAATTGCAACCAGAGAAACACATCAACTAATTCCACAAAAACATATGATTCAACTGGCAATGGCAAGATGTCATTGATATAGAACCACAGGAGGAATCTTGAACTTGTCTGAAATGAACGGTATTACCTGTGGTCTCTCAACGAGATCGCGATAGAAATCATACTCTGCCTGATAATCGTGCAGCCGAAGCTCAGCCTTTTGATTTGTATGATAATGATGCTTAGCTGAATCCGACTTCCCAAATCCAAATACACTAACTTTGTCACAAATTCCCAAAGCAAGCATAATAGCTTGCATACCAGAAGAGTAATGAAACATAGCACCATCATGAACAGCCCCCCACTGATCAAACGACTTCCCTGTCTCCTCCACAAACCGTTTCAATGAATAGTACTTCACAATCCTTGCACACAACACATCAAACCGAGGATCAGTCACAAGCAAAGGCGCTTTGTGTGATATATTACATACCGTGTAATCGAAGAAATGCAGCGGTTGACAAATGTACATAATCATAGGCACATTAAGTCCGTAAGGGTGGCAAAAACAACCATCTCTCCTAGCACAAAGATGCAAAATGTTACTATTTACAAACGAAATATTTGTTTTCGACCCAACTTTCCCCTCAAAACCCTGAATCCTCGCATTGTTCAATCGAATTACTACCTCATGACTATCAATTAAAGCACCATAATTACTCTTCAACAAGATCCCACTATTCCCAACAACTGCACACGAGGAATAGCGTCGTTGTTCTGAATCCACCAAACCACTGTGCCTATCAATGGGATATCTAACAAGCCTAACTAAATCCAACATAACATCAGGCTGAAACCGTTTGATTCTTGACCAGTCACTCAAAACTCTCCTAAAATCCAACCAATAACGATAGAATTGAGGAGAGCGAAGCATTACCGGTAAGCCAACGGAGGTCCTTGCTCTGATATCATGGTGATTAAATCGTCTCCAAGAAGCAAAAGTCCTGTATCTACCAAGACTAGCAAAGTTACCCTCCAACAGTTGCTCTATTTCCTGCTTGGCTTTAGCTTCGCTTGCATCAACGGCAGCGTATTTGAGCAGAGTGGCATTGAACACTGGCTTTGGTGGTTGGATTAGTACCTTCTTTTCAAGCTCAATCGAACTCAAGCTATGGCGAACCACGGTTCGACAGCTCAGCGTAGCAGCGAACACAATGAGTAGAAGAAGGCTAAACAATGGACGAACCGAGCGCTTCATTGGCACAATAACAAAATCTCTAAAAGGGTTTATCGGTGTTGCTAAATGTGGCCAGAGATAGAGCCTTGTACAGATCTTGAAGCTCTGTGTATTGGGTTCATCTTGGTTTTCTACAGATTTTGGCATTCCAAGATACAGAAGTGAGGTTTATGCTGGATTTGGGAAAATGGGTTATAAGATTTGTATCTGGGATTTTGTTGAGGACTGGCTCAGTGAGAGCGAGAGTGAAATTGGGTATGTGGGATTTGGTTAGCAAAGTGGGTTCTGCATATCAGAAACAGATCAGGAAGCTATGAAATGGCAATGGGAGTGGAATCTTGATGTGGGATTTGGTTGAGAAATGAAAATTTCATGATATTCTGGAGGACTGGAGAGAGAGAGAGAGAGAGAGAGAGAGAGAGCGCTCAGAAACTGCTAATGGGTGTGCGGGGTTTGGACCTGGGAGAGATTGAGAGCTGCCATTGAGGAGCTGAAATGGAGAAACCAGGTGACAAACCCCAAGTTCTATTCTAAAGGTGAAAGCTTGGAACTTGAGAGCTTGGTGGGGATCTTTGAAAGGTTGGCTTGGGTTTTCTGGGGAAGTGGGGGGATGCAAAATGCAGTGAAAAACAGTAAAAAATTGACCACTTTAATAGTGTGTTGTTGACGTGAACTTTATTGTTGCCCACTTGAAAGGTTTGATGGATTTGTTTTGATTTTGAAGGCTGTAGACTCTAGGGATATTGTGGAATAGTAGAAGCATGGTCTTTTGTAATGGGATGGGTGGGATTTGGGGTGGGTCCCTATGAGCTTAAGAAGATTTTGCTTTAGCCAAGAACCCACATCAATCAATCTGCTGCTCAAAAGCAAAAAAGGGTGAGAAAAATGTAAAGAAAAGGTCTTATATTACAAAATTAGTTTGGGAAAAGAAGAAAATACTGACCACCACAACCATAAAAATAACTGTAATAAACCTTTGTTTGGATTTGAAGGTGTGACAACAACCAATTTTTCTAGCATTGCGTTGATGCCGATCCGCCATAGATGAAGCAACTGAACGATCTCAAATCTGAGAAGAGAAATAACTCATAAAAGAAATGTCAACAACTAAAAACTGAAACTTGCAACTTAATAATTATGTCGTTACAATCACCTTCAGCTTGAACGTTGTCAAAACTCTAATTGAAAAGTATTTCCAAGGCCAAGGCAAAAGATTCTTTAACTCCTATCCTACCATAAGAGGGCGACCTCAAGAATCTTAACAAACAAAACCTATCAAGGTAAATTTTATGAGATAACCAAGTCACTAAAATTAAGCTTAACTAAACCTATGTTTGTAGGATGCCACCTAATGTTTGATGAATTGTATTTGACACATAAGGGAAAAAAAATATTATTATTGATCTGTCAATTCGTTTCAATGTTGCCAAATGCAACTGAAAAAAGAACTTAAGAACTTGTTAACCAGTACAACAGAAAAAGAAATATTCTTTTACCCAAAAAAAAAAAAAAATCGGCAACTTGTTAATCTAATATTTTTTAAAATAGTTCTTGGCCTATAGACATTGTAGTCGTATTTTTTTTATTTAATAATGGTAAAACCAAGAAATTGACTATTTGTGTCAATCAAACAAAAAAAATATATGGAAAAATACACTTCTTGGGTATTGTGGATTAACAATTAAATTTGTGGGTTTTGGGAGTGAAGATCTTCAATGCATAATATTTTTATATTCTTCCGAAAAGAGAAGACACATGGGATGTTAGCTGTACTTTCAGGTAGATCTAAGGTTTAATATTAAGATGTAGGTTTTGTCGTTGATATACATGTCTGGTTCACCAGGGAAGGATTTTGTGGGGAGTTCGATGGGCATGAACATGACACATATCAGATGACACTCAAAAAGTTCATAGGCTAGTATTTAATTCTTTGCTAATTTGAAGGTCGAATTTTTTAAATTATTTTTATTTTTATTATTTTAGTACAAGCGATAATCTAAATTAAAGAGATGGTGGATTTCTCACACACACAACTATAATGTCGTTGGGATTCAAACCTGAAACCTATGGTATGTAACTTAAGACTCTTTTTCATTGGGTTAGACTCGTTGACTGAATTTTCCAAATTAATACAATAACCTTTTAGAGGTATTTGATAACGCAAATAATTATATAAATATTAATTGTTTTATTTATCTATTTTATATATATATATATATATATACAATATTTTATTTTAATCTAATCTAAACAAACAATGGGAAGAAGGATTCAAATTCAGATGTAGACTCTAGCCAACTTGGCTAAGCTTTTTTTTTATTTTTTATTTTTTGAAGTATCAATAATAGTTCACTTGTTTTATCCATCATTTGTGGACACCAAAGTCAAAATTAATGAATCCTACAGTTAATTCTACTCAATGGTCATCCATAATCATGGTTTGGACTCCATGATTCTCTTTGTTTTGTTTTGTTTTTTTTTTTGCTACTCCTTGATTTTCTTTTGGCAACAAATGAATTTTTATTTATTTATATACTTTCCTTAAGTATGAAATGATATTTTTCTTTTGATTCAAAAAAGAGAGAAGATGAGAGTTCAATGTTTGTGGTAGATGTGAAAATAAGTGCTCTTTATGATGCGAAACCATGATGAAATGATAAGTTTGAGGACATAATAATCGTAAACTAATGTAGAAGTAGAATATAAATGGGGGAAACACTATATATTTCATATGAAATCATAACTTTATTTTTCAAGCAAGTTGTGATTTGTTAAGGGCCCATTTGATAATCATTTTAATTTTTGTTTTTGTTTTTTGTTTTTTGTGTTAGATTATAGAGGAAAAATAGAGAGAATGGAAGTGAGAATGAGAGTGAAGATAAGATTGAGATGGAAAATAAGAGGGAATGATGGGAGGGAAGAGTAACAAAAGTGAAAACAAAAATTAAAAACTGAAATCTATTTGAAATTGTTTTCACTTTTGTTACTCATCTCTCCCATCCTCCCCTCTCATCCTCTCTTTCAGTCTCATTCTCATCTCTCCCAGATGGAGTATTTGAAAAAATAATTCAACAACGACGTTCGAGAATTGAACATTAATAATGAATAAAATATGATACTTATATGGGAATTTTAGAGATAAAACTTTGACCATTCTTAAATATACTATTTTCGAACAACACAATGAGACCATTTGAAGAGCAGCATTATATCATTCGAACAACAATTTACTAGCACATAATTGTCACCGTTGTCACTACACATTTACAGAGTTGTTATGCATCCATGTGAAAGTTAAGTTTTTGCCTATTCTTTTAACTTTTATGATTGAACTCACGACCTCCTCCAACAGAATAAAGACTACATCTACATGACAGAAAGTATAATGGGGAAGATGACTTCGAAGATTAGAACTACCCAAGGTCCTTATTTAAAGACTAGAATTGACAATAAATTAACAAAATCGACCCCACTTTCGTCCATAGTTGTGAACATGAACATATTTTATATATGCATATATATATATTTGGTGGCGTGGAGGAGGGAAAGGGACAGCCACCGAAGGTGACCGCGGGTCCAGCCTCCTTTGTGAAAGAGATGTGTGTAATTTGCAACAAAAGTTGAATCTTTTTCACGCATCAATTGGGGAGGGGATGGCACTTAACTTGATGGTGACTGGAAGCATGTTTTGCTATAGCTTTAGGCCATTATTATAAAATACATCCAAGTTTAGTGGGTAAGATTAAACTAGACTATTTCAATTAAAATGGATAAGAGTTTTGTTCGTTGTTTGGTATGTTAGGACTGAACTTGTTAAATTAGACAACAATCCAACATATTGTGTTTTATAAGTGGAATTGATAATGAATGACTTGAACTCAACTTCAATCTAATCTGAACCGAACCACCAAACGATATGTTAATGATCATAATATTTTCCCAAACAAGTTAAATCATAAAAAATGAGTGGTGGGGCCCAAAAGACAACACCAAAGAATCAACCGCTTGTCTTGAGTCAACTAAGGAATCTTTCAACCAAACTTACCCCATTGTTGGTTAGCATTTTGAGAAGAAATGATTACTTGGAATATAAATAAAGCCCGTCGTATGGAGTGGGTTAACTCAAGGGAATTTTTCAAGGTTGAGAAAGACATTAGCTTTAATTCTAGTTTTATAGGGTATCCACTATTCCTATAGAAAAATGACTTGTGAACTTTAATCCACAATATCTTAATTGCCCAATGAATTTTGATAGGTCGGTAGAGCTTGAATCAACTCTTTATTTTAAGTTGCAGCCATTGAACGGCAAAGTTGTAGATTTGCTCAATGTGCCTTCCATCGTGTATCTATATGGATAGTAAGAAAATTAAGAGATATGTAGATATATTAATTAATTTATAGCTAAGAAAAGGAACAACATACAGCCAGATACTTTCTTCTTTCCGTTGTTTTAAGGTTTTTTAGGTTTTAGACATAAAAAAAATTTCACTTTTGGAAAAAGCCAAAGCTTTTTCAAAAAAGACAAAAAAACCGCTCAACTTTCAAATCAAAGACATGCAAATGTATTGGATTCCTTAGGAAATCTAAAAATAAATAAGGGCATTTTTGTCCATTTTTGCTTCTTTTAAAATTTTTCTCTATCCTTTTGCTTTTTCTAAAATGTCCCTTCTTTTTAAGCAAAACTCATTAAGGAAGAATTCCTAGTATTAGATATTGTCACGTGGTATTACTAATCTACTTATATTATAATACGTGTATTTATTTATTAATATCATATCATAAGTCCATGATATATCATTTTTGTCATCCGTCCGTATGGATTAGTAACACTAATTAGTTGTGTGACTGTATTATTGAAAATAAAGACAACCATTAAGTATGAAAAAAAATTTATAAAGAAAATTGGATTATGTCTCATTTTGCCATGTATCTAAACTTTGACTATACAATCCCTACCACACATTATCTCTTATAACCTTTGAATCTCCTTCAATATCAAAGAGGTTTAAGTCCTATCTATCCACACAGCAAGTGGACTTGGTAGTATGGGTGGGCATCGGAACCGAAGAACCGATCAATTAAACTAAATCGGGCTGGAAAAAATAAAAAAAACCCGTATTGACCAAAAAGTCAAATTCAATTCAAAAAACCAAACTGAACTAGTTCTAACCGGTTTCCGTTGCGGTTCTATACCCCAACAAACTGAACCGGGCCAAACCGAACCGGCCAAATTTAAAAAAAAAAATATATATATATATATATAATTTTAATATTTATTTATATCTAATGCTATATTTTTAATATCATAACTAATATTTATTGGCGAGTACTTACTTAGTTAGAATTTTAGTTCCTTATTTAGTTAGAATTTTGGTTACTTACCAATTATTATTTAGTTTTATTGTAATAGAGATTTATTTCATATTGTAATTTAGATATATTTCCTATTTTATTTAGGGTTAACATATCTTTATACTTGTATAAATACCTTCATATTGGAGAAAAATAATAATATGAACATATTTGAGCATAACTGAATATTTGCCATAATTTGTTTGACTATATTTACCCAAGCTCAATTTCAAAACATCTCTTTTTCTAGCCCCAATATTTCTTTTTGTATGAAATTGGATAATTTGTTAATTCTCAAGCCAAAAAATAAAATTTTTGTTGAAACTTGTATAAATAATTTTTTTTTAAATAATAATAATAATAATAATCCGGTTCAAAACCGAACTGGACTAGAACTAGTTCAACCAAAATC